TAGTTCTAGGTCTTATTACTTTTCCTTTTTTATCCATGGGGAAGTGGAATAAGAATCTTTCCTCCATAAGCAATGCATATTGAAAAAGTCAACTAAAATGCCAGGAACAATGGGCTAGTAACCCTTTTTCCTGTAAAGATTACTAAAAAGAATAAGAAGAATAAAATTGTCAAAGTGGGAAGTCTGAATGTGCGTGAATGTTGTGCAAATGATAAGAAAGAGATGATTGTGGATGTTATGAATGAGAAGAAGCTGGATGTCCTGGCTTCAAGTGAAACAAAGCTGAAGGGGGTGGGAGAGTTTCAATGGAGAGGAATAAATGGGATTAGGTAGGGGTTTCAAATAGAGTTAGAGCTAAAGGAGGAGTAGCAATAATGTTGAAGGATAAGGTAATGGCAGGAAAAGAGGGACTATAAATGTATTAATTCAAGGATTATGTGGAGTAAAATAAAGATTGGATGTGAAAAGTGGGTTACAGTAAGCGTGTATGCACCTGGAAAAGATAGAAGTGTAGAGGAGAGAGAGAGAGATTTTGGGAAATGTTGAGTGAATGCATGGGGAGTTTTGAATCAAGTGTGAGAGTAATGGTGGTTGGGAATTTCAATGCTAAAGTGGATAAAAATGTTATGGAGGGAGTAGTAGGTAAATTTGGGGTGCCAGGGGTAAATGTAAATGGGGAGCCTTTAATTGAGCTATGTGTAGAAAGAGATTTGGTAATAAGTAATACATATTTTATGAAAAAGTTATGATGTAGCACGTAATGAAAGTAGTTTGTTAGATTATGTATTGGTGGATAAAAGGTTGATAGGTAGTCTATAGGATGTACATGTTTATAGAGGGGCAACTGATATATCGGATCATTATTTAGTTGTAGCTACAGTTAGATTAAGAAGTAGATGGGAAAAGAGGAAGGTGGCAACAACAAGTAAGAGGGAGGTGAAAGCGTATAAACTAAGGGAGGAGGAAGTTCGGGCGAGATATAAGCGACTATTGACAGAAAGGTGGGCTAGCGCAAAGATGAGTAGTGGGGGGGTTGAAGAGGGTTGGAATAGTTTAAAAAATGCAGTATTAGAATGTGGGGCAGAAGTTTGTGGTTATAGAAGGGTGGGGGCAGGAGGAAAGAGGAGTGATTGGTGAAATGATGAAGTACAGGGTGTGATAAAAAAGAAAAAAAGCTTATGAAGGTTTTTACAAAGCAAAAGTGTTTTAAGAAGAGCAATAATGGGAGTA